CAGGTCCCTTTCTTTTTCCTTAGTGTCCAGCCTCACATACAACTCACTATAAGGCTTTCCCTCTGCTATACACTTAACTTACCAGTACCCCTGTCTACTTTGAATACTTTCTTGTGCTTCCTCATTCCACCACCGTCCTCCAAAGTGTCATGTCTCTCCAGTTGACACTTCAAATGTGTCTCTCAGTTTCCCTCAATACTTCAGCAGTACATTCCCATCATCTGTAACCATTCCTTACCACCCAGAGCCTGTCTCAACTCCTTCCTGAACTCTGTGCAACATTCTTCCTTTTTCAACTTCCACCATTTAATCCTTGCCACTGCCTTCCTCTTTCTCTGTCACCAGTCCCAGGAGACACACTGCACCACTTCATCCAAATTACTGAAGATTTATGCTTCAGCTGGAAATTTACAAACCATAACCTGAAGTGCACCTCTCTAGAAATGTAACTACACTATTATGACTGGCCTGTAAGCACCATCAACTACTCCTGTGCACTTCCAGCTACTTTTTGCAGATCCTTTCACTGGAGTTTTAAAATTTTTTAGTGATAGAATAACAATCATTGTCTCAATATAAGGAATAAACTCCCAGAAAGAGATGACTGAAACTAGAATGGACATGAGGGATGTACAAAGAAGTGAAAATTCTAGACAGACACATCACAACAGAGAGATGGGACCCAGCGGGAATAAAAGAGTGTGGCATCTTATTTGTTTCTATTGGATGACACCTAATGTAAAATACAGGCACACAACCACACAGTAATTAACACATAATGCACACAAACAAGCATAAATGCTGGAAACATAAGTCGACCACATAGATTACACTGTATGCTCTACAAAGACTCTGCAGAAATCTAAACCAGGCCTTAATCAAGACTACTTCTTCTAGATGACACCCAACCTGTGGGGCATACACACGAATAACACTGAACATCACCGCAGGGCTCGCGGTGATGAATCGCTAGCCTGACGTCCCGGGCCAGCGACATCTCCGGTCGGGCGACCAAAATCTATCTCAGCCCTGCCCGTCGGGCGATTTTGCGAGCCCTGCACCCCTTTGACTTCCAGCTCCAGACACACTATTCACCTTCACAACACTATTCGCACACTTTTCCTTAATGATTTTCCTGTAGAACAGCTTGAATCAACCTTTAATACTCCTGGCTTTACTTCCTTGCCACCCGGTCTCCTGCACATACTTACTTCCTATGTCTTTTCCATCATATCAGTAAACTATCTGCCTTTACTTGTGACCCTACTTTTAAATTTGCTACTCACCTCCACAGTCCAGCCTGTCGTTACACTCCTTTCCCCCCTCCTCTTACTTTCTCCTCAGCAAAAAGTAGCACAGTTTCCAACAATGACTTGTTGCACCAGGGGCAATCACCCCAACCAATCTGATATGTGAATGTCTTTCTTGATAATCTCCATGTCTTATTTGGCAAAGATGCTAAAAGATTTTACACCGGCTGTCCTTCCTGTCACAGCCCTCCTCATTTATCCAGGTGTGGGACAAGCACTTGAAGTAATAATGTTGTTGGACCCTGTGAAATAATGCTCAAAGTCTGCACTTCAATGACATTTCATTATTTAACATCCAGTGTGGCGGATGGGAAATCCTCCAAAAAATAAAAAAATAAAAATACAGGGAAAACTACAAAAATGTTGTCATTATACAAATGTGTGAACCTGCGTCAGCCTGTCTCCTAATGGAAGCTGCTGGAGACTGCCACCACCAAAGGACTTCAGCATGTACAGACCAGGAAAAAAAAAAAGAGCCAGCAGTGGTAACTGGACACCTTCATGGCAGCAACAAAGCCAACCACAAATTAACATCTTTGTTGGCGACTGGACAAAGACCCCCAATTCATAATTTTAGAACAAAGAGAGCGTCAGGTAATATTTAACAATCCTTTTGTATGTTCACCTACACACAGCCTTTGTAACACCTACACAAAGATGTGTAAATGCACCGTAACTCAGTCCTTATGGTCAAGCGCTGTTTGGTGGCTAAATGGCCCACATGAGGCCACTGAAAAGGCTGGAGGTCAGGCATTGTGTAGATCGTGGTACAAGAGTACAACTCAGGTTGTAATACTCCCAGGTGTGGATGTTTTCCTCTAGAAAGCAAGTAAACACTCCAGGGCAAACCCAACTATGACAAATTTATTATAAAATGTTTTAAGAATCACCAGTCTGTCTCTCTGCTGTAAAAAAAAAAAAAATCAACAGAACAAAAACAGCCAGAATGTGTATAAAACATGCATGCTTCCTGTCACACTAAAATGTATGTTCTCCTCTGAGGGCCTGAAAGTCTAACCAAACATCTAACATTTTGTCAGCTGCGGCTCTAAAGGTTGGTGTGGTTGTGGGCGCGTTTGTATGTGTGCAGGACAAGGTGAATGGAATAGTCAGAGAAAAGGGACACTAATGCCCGGCATACACATGCATAGACACAGACACAGACACACACTTCATCCAGATTTGACAAGGTTAGTTAATCATCTGTCACGGGGACAGGGGAACGGACAGACTCCCCTCTCCTCTGTCCGTCCTCCATCTCTTCTTCTCTATTTATCCCTCCATCTCCTCCTCTACTCCTTCATCGTCTCTCTGTCCAAGGGCAACTGTCCTTTTCCACCGATATTAACCTTGTAAATCTCACCACATGCTTTTATCTTTTTTTTTTCCCCTGTCAGCCTGTCTTTGCTTCTGTCTCTCTCACTCTTTTCCCCCCACTGTCTTGCTGTCCCATACTCTTTACAATGCTATGAGCACAGGCCTTTCCCCTTCCTGTTAGGGACAAAGCTGTGTCTCTATCATTCAGCACCGTAATCGGCCACACATCATTGCCTCCCAGCCATTTAGCCCAAGGTAAATCTAGTGGTCCCTTTTATAAAGAAAGATGGAGAAAATGGATATTGATAGAAATGATGGACAGGTGACACAAAAAGATGGCGATGACAAAGAGTTGCTGTAGGGTCTAAGAGAGCAAACAGCTGAAGTGTAAAAGAGAAAAAAATATAAGGTGATGTGAAAAGAGGTACGGATAGATGGATTTAAGGCTGAAGGAGGATTTCCCTTATATTATCAGTGCAGTCACTGTAGTCAAAGAAGAAAAAAGACATTATGGATGATATTAGTTTGTTAAGAAATCCAGTTTAACCAGCACATATATGCCAAAGAAGAAAATAAAATGTAAAACATAAACACAACACTGTGGTTGGCAGGGGTCTCAAACTCAAGGCCTCGAGGGCCGGTGTCCTGCAGATTTTAGATGTCACCCTGGGTCAACACACCCAAATCAAATGATTAGTTCATTACCAGGCCTCAGGAGAACTACAAGACATGTTGAGGAGCTAATTTAGCCATTTAAATCAGCTGTGTTGGATCAAGGACACATCTAAAACCTGCAGGACACCGGCCCTCGAGGCCTGGAGTTCAAGACCCCTGGCTTAGAGGAAGGTAAGCCCCATGTCGCTCTTTTGAGCTGTGCCAGTAGGAACACACCAGGCCTGGCCCAGGTGGTGACCAGGTAACGCTCTCTGAGGCAGGGTGATTTGTTCTCTATACACCGTGGCTATAGGAGATGTCTTCTTCAAAGCCCACAAAGCTGTCCTCGCTGCCTTCTCCAACTTCTTTAGAATGCATATAACTTTTTAAAGTTATATGCATGTCTGGACTCTCAACAGTGACCAGTTTGACCATAGAAACCCTCACAGAACAAAATTACTCCTAACAGCACAGCGCCCGTGATCACTCAAATCCTGATAATGTGACAAAGAGAAAAAAAAGTAGACAGTTAACAGTTTAGGAAAAAGATTAGACAACTAAATTAAATAGGGAAAGGACATGAGGAATAAAGTGAGGAAGTAAGGAGAGAAGAAGAATGGAAAAAAAGAAAGTTGAATATGACATAAAACATATGGAGGAAATATTAAAGAGGTGTCAAGAAGAGGAAATGTGTGGAGCATGGAGAGAAACACAGCTGGGAAAATGTGACCAGGGGATGTTAAGGAGACCACGAGAAAAGCCAAAAGACAGGATACAGAGGAAAATAAAGCTAAAAAAAGAAGAGAAACTGTATTAAAGGCTGTACTGTATGGGGGCGTAGAGAGGCGTGCATCTATCAGCGCCATGCTCCTTGCAAAAAGCCGCCAGGGACAGAGACACCAGTCAACTCAGGAAATAAGAAAATGATTAAGAGCGATTTAATGTCATGCCGCCGCCAAGCCAAAACGCACATCTGTCACTGTGAGACTGATGCTCCTACACCTCCTCCTCACTTCTCCCTCCCTCACTCACACTCTAGCAGTCACTCACTCATTCATTACACTCTCCTGTCGCTGATGGGTTTTTTTTTTTCCTATCAAGACCCATACCTTCCCAAACCAGACTCCAGAAGCCTTCAAATCACGCTTAACTCCACTAACACATGCTTTCCTGGGGGTTCATCCCACACTCACACGCTCTCCTGTTTCGACTGCTGGATTATGCACTACGATTATTTCCATATGAAGCATTTAAAAAAAAAAAAGTGAGGAGGAACTGCTGAGAGGCTGCTTCTAATCAAAACATACAGATCTGTGTGTGTTCATCTTCACTCTGAAGGTTTGAAAGAAAGAAAAAATAATAAAGGAAAAGCACACACTGCATTCCTCTTCGTACTACATACATTTCAGGTTTCATCCGGTGTCCTGCTGGTGACCACAAGCTCTAAAGGAACCAAAGCTGGGAATCATGCCTTCTAAATACTGCCCCCACCAGGTTGTTTGTGGCCATTACAATGCTGTAAACTGCTGGTTACAAGTAATATTTTTACACGTCTGAAAGCTGTTAAAATAGGGAATGTCTGCCAAAATGTTTCTGCTGCGTTTAAATGAACTTATTTCACAGACACACACAGAACAGGATGTTTCTGCAGAGCACTGACAAGGTTTGCTGATGCTCATCAAAATTAAAGTTATTAACCTCCGTGACCTTTGCACTTACCATTACACTTCCCTCCATTGGTGGGGTCGCCATAGTAACCAGGCATGCAGCTCTGGCAGTGCGTCCCTGCTGTCAGGTTTCCGCAGTGTTCGCATACGCTGCCGTTCACACACCTGCTGTGACCGTTACATTGGCATGCTGGAAGAGAACATTCATAGGAACATAAGAAAGCATGTGCAGTAGTACACATCATCTTCACTTCACCATAAGTGGTTTTAATGCAAGAACACTACAATAAATACCTGCAAAGGTTATCATTTTATTTGTGCTGAACGTCGCATTGAAAGGAGTTTCTAATATCTTTTCTGCTTCCATCATACACATTGCTCACTATCAGAATCACTTTGCAATCGCATACTTATAGATGAAGTGGGTAACTATTGAAAATGCACATTTCCTACTTCAGTTCTAGCAGCAGATAAAACACCGCAGCCAGAAGAGGCTACACTATTCATATTAAGTGGGATACTCAATTACAGGGTATGAAAGGTGAGTCCACAAAGCTTAACCTTAGTGTCATCTGGTCCGGTCTGGTCTCGTGGTTCACTCACCGGGGCACTGGATAAAAGCCCAGTTGTAGCCTCTGTCTGATGAACAGATACCCTGATCCACCACCGTGTCCCTGTCTCGCAGTTTATCCCGGTCTCTGGGCCCTGCCTTTGCGGTCACAGGCTTTAGAGGGCCTCTGTAGGAGCCCTCCATGCAAACGCCCCTACCGGTGTTACTGGGATCACCGCACCAACCACACTCCACCCTCTCCAGACACTCGGCACACGTCCTCAGACCTGAACAGTTTTGGGCTGACAGATAAGGGATGTAAAAAGAAAGAAATCAAATATAAACTTGCATACAAGCATGCAAACTTTACAGTCACGGAAAATAATTTTGCTTGTGTAGTCAGGATGACAATGCAATTCAGTCCAATTCAGTTTTATTTCTATAGCACCAAATCATAACAACAGTTACCTTAAGCTGCTTACTGCCCAAGGAAAATAAGTAATGTTACTCCATGATATTTCAGTCTCTCTGGCATAGTTTTAAAAGGTCACAACATCAGTGTATCTGGATATGTTCATTTGAATATGAACATTCAACTAATGGGTCACTCAATTTACATTTGATAGTAAAATATTGACAAATTTTACCAATTATACTTTAGAGGCACAAAAACCAGTTGTGTTCCCAACATATTAGTTAGTGCAGCATTTCAAACTCAAAACCTTTTAAATATGTAGAACTACTATCATATACTTCAGCACCAGTGTTATCTGTGTGTGAGAGACATGTTCAACACACATTTGGTTTGAAACCTTAAAATCTGATTTTAACCATATTCTGTCTTTTGCACTTACAATTCTTCCCAACAGCTTGAATAAAAGCATAAACACCATAAAAGCCTTCTGGGATGTAATCTACACCATCTAATATTGTTTGCATCTTTTGCTTTCACCTTTTCTTTGACCCTCAACATTTAGAAATAAATGGGCTTTTCTTTGCCACGCCATTCCACATGTTCAGAGGAGCATTTGTATTCATAAAGTGGAGGTGACATTCAAAAAACACTTTACTAGTGGGATTTAAAAATGGCATTATGTTTTTAAGGTATGGCATTTAATAGTTGTAGAAGAAAACTGAAAATCTCCATACTGAAGCCTTTTTAGTTCAGCAAACGCTGCAGAGAGCAGGCAATCGGTGACGAACATTAGATTTTTTTTCTTCTAGAGTCTCTGGCCTTCCAAAGTTAACTCTACAGCTTGTTTTTGAATCTCATTCTTGTTTTGCTCTTGTTCTCCAGTTCAGCTCATCTTCTTGTCATGATGAATTTTAGTCTACAAAGCCAGGGTGGAAGTACACACTGACAAAGAGACTTTGTGGGTATCTTGCCGTGTACACAAGAAACCAAAAGGTTGAGAGGAGGTATGCGAGGTGTTGTTTCTTATAGCCCAGTGAGATGATTCGAATGCGTAACATTTGCATTTTCACCAGAACTTCTTTCTCTTTTGAACATGAGGCATTTTCATAAGCCACAGATGTTCTAGCCGAACCAGTATCTGTTTCCTTCTCTATGCGTTCCTGCTTGAAATACACTCCTTGTCCTCTGTGTGTTTGCAAGCTACGCCGTTGCATTATTCAGCTTCAGCAATGCTGATTCATTTGTTCTCTCTCCCACTTTGTAATTACCAACTTCTGCTCCCCCTTTTTCAGATTTGCTCTTTATCTCCTCTCTGCCACAGTCCTATCCTTCTTTCTCCGTTTCTATTCACTAAGGCATCTCCCCATCTCGTGCTCATTCACTGCTGCTTTTTCCACCATTATACCCTCTTTTACATATTCTGTCATTTTGATTTAATTTGATTTTTTCCATTTATTCGTCTAAAACCCTTTTAGGCACAAATGAAATCACAAGCGACAGAACCGCTCTACTTTTCCTTCATCCTCTCTTTTTTGTCCGCTCTCCCACTGCGCTCTTTTCCCTTTTTACTTTCACCTCCCCTTAGTTCATCTCTTTTTGCCCTTCTCTTCTTACAGCTCACTTGATCTTTCACTAAAGTCAGTAGTTCAAAGAAAGGCGGTTCAACAGAATATCCCTAATCCACCGCGTGGTAGGGTTTCCGCTGACAGAAAAGCACACATTTACATACCCAAGAGCAGACTTTAATATCCAATAAATATACCAGGCCTGTTTACCATTTAAAAATATCAGTCCATTGCATTTATGTTGGCAGATTTTGGTACCAACTCCAATTCTCTTCTGCCAGATCGTTTTATTTATTCATTTTTCATGAAAAGAGAATTCTTTGATTTAATAGATCCAATCTGTTCTCATTCTGTGACAGCTGTTGTTTGTCCCTCCAGGTCAGGTCAGACTCTCAGTGCAGGGCCACAATTTTTGCTTCAGTCTTAGTAATGCTCAATACATAGTCCCCGGACAATGACACATTTTTTTAATATACTTGAGTGCAAACCAGTCTGACATTACTCTTTGCTCCATCCATCCATCCATCTTCCGCTTATCCCAGCCCGGGTCGTGGGGACAGCAGCGAAGCCCAGATCTCCCTCTCCCCGGCCACTTCCTCCAGCTTGTCCAGGGTAACACTGAGCCATTCCCAGGCCATCCAAGAGATGTCATCTCTCCAGTGTGTCCTCGGCCTACTCCTGGTTCTTCTCCCAGTAGGCACGTCAGAATAAGATTCCAGATCCAAGCAGACTCCCTAGGATATCTCCCAAGATGGTTTGGGCATCTGACTAGGATGCCTATTAGTCAGATGTCCAAACGACTGGCTCCTTTTGATGTGGAGGAGCGGCTCTACTCTGAGCCCCTCTCAAATAACCGAATTACTTAGTTTAACTCTAAGGGCAATGCCAGCCACCCTTTGGAGAAACCTCACCCCCCCTCCCCCCTTGTATCAGTGATCTCATTCTTTATACCTTTATATAGTAATGATATGTCATTACTATATATCATCACTACATATCGGTCTTTACCAAGTAATGAATGCTACACAATCTAGCATTGAGACACATGAACATAACCTTTCCTTAAAAACGTCAAAATTTTTAAGATTTTCTTTTCTACAGCTTATTTGGCTCTCGATTTCTTGAACCACACTGAGAAGGAAGCAACACTATTTATCTGTCAGTGTAAGTCACAGCTGAGCTTGTGCCTATCTCCTCTTCAATTTATATCCAATCTAAACCAGTTCTGGACCATAAGACAGACAAAATGTTTACTCAACAACCAATTAAATTTCCCCCAGCTTTTTTTTTTCTCCAAAAAGTGAATTGTATAGTTGTGTGTCTGCAGATACTTGTTTCAATGGTTTGCATGGTTTGAAAGTTACAGGATTTAGACTTGAGATGTAATTTTAGTGCAAAGCAATTTCTTCACGACTAAAGGCTATTTTCAGCAAAATATTAATGTAAGATTTGACTGAAAGTTTGAACTGCAATTAATTTGCAAAATGTGTCAAAATTAGTGAAAGAAAATGCACCAAATATTTCAGGCATCAGTCTGAACGCCACAAATGTGATAAAACGGGCTCAATGGGCACTAAGTGGCACAAGTAAGAGCAATTAATTCAAAAGTGAGAGAATGTAGAAGAAAACAAATACTAGCATGGACGGAAGATACCGAGATCCTTAGATGTTCACTTACATAACAGTAGTTTGCATGGATAATTTAATTTACCTGCTATGTTCTCGTTGCCTGAGCCTTTTCTATTTTTAATAGCATTTCCAATTATCTGGCTTCATCTGTGTTCCACATGGAAAGAATTTAAAGAGGTTATTGCCTCCTGAAGTCTTGGGATTCAGAGCAGATGAAGGAGAGAGAGGAAAAATAGAGTGCCTACAGGGTTTACAAGGCCTTAGTTTTACTTAACAGCACCAAAGATGTAGCTGTACCATGTGCCATTGCATGACATTAGCTCCAGGTTATTTCTAGAGAAAATATTCTCTTGGATGGTGCCTTCATGAGAGTGGGTAAAAGAAAAAAAAAAAGAAAACAACAACAGCAACATGAGATCTAATCATGATTCACTGATGAAACTGTTGACCACTGGCTATTTTTTTCCTTTTTTCCTTCTTGAATATTGTTAAGATTAAAATAAGAAAATAATAACTTTCATACTTCAAATGGCTTAAAATACTTTCTCTAATATCTTGCAAAAGAGCCTTGTTTTCTCTCACTTAACCAATGGTAACGAGTAAACAATGATGGACAATGGTGATTTAATTTTAATGTATGGCACTTCATAGTTATTAAAATGTGAATTATGGCTGGTAAATGCAATGCAAAGATGCTGTTACAGTCACGATTGAACAAATCATTTTAAAAAGATTATTGTGCTTTTCTGTATTTTTCTCACTTACAGTACATATACACAATGGTGGATTTTCATAATAAAATTGACTTTCACATAACAAGGTCAGCATATTATGTAAAAGTAATCACTGATCCACAAGCTCAGGGTCAAATGCTCAGTTCACATTTTTCCTCTATACTTGGATCTGTACAACCTGCTATAGAGGTGTAGGGATGGGAAATGATATGATTTTAGAGATTCTGATTCCATTATCAATATCACTTATCAATTCTCTTAATAATTCTCATTGGGTTTTCATTAGCTCTGCTTCGAGATTCAACACCATCACCAAGCAGCATATTAAAGACATTACCTTCCTGTAGATTAATTGCATGCTGTGTGGTCAAATGTTTGTGTATCTTGGAAGTATTTCCCTTCTTTGTTGTGATCAGTTTTTTTCAAAAACAAAATAATGCTTTACACATATTACAAAGAATACTTTTCTTAAATTTAAAAGTAATTACTCCCAGGAAAAAAGCATTTTTTATAACACTTCTAACTTTATTTTTGCATTTCTCCATAAAATGATGTGAGAATGAAGAAATCACTTTGATGAGTGATGGAAAATTTTCCCCCACTGAAAATGTTACGTCCAGATGAACAGAACTATTTTTTGGGGATTTCCAGACCTGGATGAGTTCAGGGTCTGACTGCTGGGCTGGGGTCGGGATTCACTCAGTTTAACTCGGAGCTTTTGGCTAATTTATTGTTAGCATAAACTAGCAAAGAGCCAAAATTGTGTTAGCAGCATAATATTGTTGTTTCTGTCCTGGAGTTTGCACTTAAAAAGTAATGAAAAGTAATGTCCATATCCACACTGCAGACTGTACCACTACTTTCCTTCTCCAGCACAACAAATGAAAGCAGCAGGTTGTAGCCTATGAGTTCCCTACAGCTTTCTGGCTTTGGTCTTCAACCCGTCGATAGCCAACTTC